TAACTCGTATCGCTCTTTTATTGACTGTCGTCGTCCAGTCTGCTCTCGTCAAGTTCGTGACCATCAGCTCCGAGTAGCTTTACCTACTCTACCATACTTCGCGTCCACGTGCGCGGTTGAACGCTCTTCGCTCCACGACACGACGGTGCACACGCTCGCACCCGTGTTCCAGATACAGCAGCTCCGCACATACAGTTCACCAGCTCAAGACATCGGCCAGGGAGGCAGCTCAGTCGGTGATCCCCGTTTCCCTCCTGACTTAATATTGTATTATTGTATAATTGAATTACCTACCTACTGTTCATGTGGTATACCTAACAATACATGCTCCTGATAGTTAGAAATCTCGTGTTATTTTTGAATCTTATAAATTGCCTTATTCTACAACAATCCTGAGGACCTCGTACCAGGCGATATCTGATCTTAAGGATCGCCGGGTCAACATTTTGGTAGCAGAGCGTGGTTGGTTGGTCCATCAACATCTGGTACTCTGGATTCGCGTGAGTAATGCATTTTGCTTTTAGTTTTGGCGTATGAGTATAAGGTGTGTACATTTATTTATCCTTTTCCTCACTCCTATCGATAGTAGGTACTGTTCAGTAAGAAGACAGTAATTAACTCAACCGACTGCTCAGTCATTAATTAATTGTTTTATTTATTGCTATTAATATAAGTCAGATTTATTATTTAGTGTTGAGTTTTATTTACTGTATTCGTGCTCAAGCGTTTACTACTGTAGTAACGTTAATCAATTGAATTTACTTTAAATATTACATATTTATTAGACGGTGCTCTCTGGGTTAAATTATTTATTGTTTTATTTATTGTATTATGTATGGGTATTAACTAGTATAGGTTGTTCACTAGTTGCTGGTCTAGTTAGCACCTACCTCATTGGTCATACTATTTAATTGGGTGGATTATTATTAATATGTTGTTGTCATGCTATTGACATCTGAGTTTTAACAGGGCTTATCACTCACCCTTAGTGCAGTAGCTCTAAATTGCATTATTACATAGTTTAAGATTTAGGTGTGCGTCGTGGGTCGTGCCAAGGATCAGGTATTGTACTATCACACAATATATTATTATTTGATTATTTGTTTTATATTATCCACTCTAGGTTGCTCAATTGAGGGTTTTATAGTGCAGATTTGGTTGTCTAACTTGTTCATAGTTAGTATATTTAATTTTAATATTATATTTAGTACTGCGTCGCCTGGATACACCTGAGTTCTATTCAAGTTTAAATTAATTAGGTGCTCTCCTGTTGTTTGGACTAGTTTTAACTGTTAATAGTTATGATATTGTTTGTGGGCTACTGATTATTTTGCCGCTTGCTTAGTTATTGCCTACATCATAGTCAACGCTTGTTTCTATTTTATTAATTGACTCGTTCATAGCCTTTTTATAGTGCTCATTCGGTAGTCATTTATTTGTTCATTGATTTTTCGGCATCGTTGATCAACGTTTGTACTGTGTGATACCAGTTTTAGTAATCTTTTGTTTGTGCTTACCTTTTGATCATATCCTTGAAGTGATATTGACTTCAACTAGCAATTTGTTCTCGCTCTAGTTCATTATTGTTAGTCTCTGGCTTTGTTACTTCTTGGTGCAGTCAATATAATGGCTGGGGAACGTGATGCTCGTGCGAAGGAGCGTGCTATCCTGCGTAGGGATCAAGTCATCGCTCGAATTCGCCAGATACACTTATTGGCCACAAGCTCAGCCACTGATGAAGCTAGTAGATCTCAACTAGCTGTGGCTATTGTCGATATTGATAGCTTGTGGGCCAGCTTTGTTATTGAGAACAATAATCTTCTAGACATACTTACCGAATCGGATTTGTTGGGGGAGTTTTCTGTGAACTTAGAAACTGAGACCCGTGCTTTGGTGGTAGAAGCTAAGGCCTTGTACAAGGCATCTCAACCAACTCCAGCTTTTAATGTCGGTACGGTTCAACAAGTATCGTATGAGGGTATAGTTGACCAAGCAAGTTCTTCTGCTGGGGGGTCGTCCAAGGATTGCTCAGTTCCCTACCCTCCGTTGGCTGTGGCACCTATGAGGTTGCCTGAAATCCCTCTGCCTACTTTTGATGGTGAATGCCACAACTGGCCAGCCTTTAGGGACATGTTCGTCAATTTGGTGGCTAACAACGATAAGATCCCGAATGTTACCAAGTTCTATTATCTGGTGGGGTGTCTGCATGCTGATCCGCAAGAAGTCATCAAGGGATTTTCGATTTCAAATGAGTCTTTTACTCTTGCCTGGGACGCATTGATCGAACGCTACGATAAACCGCGCAGGTTAGCATCGTCAATAATCGATAAGTTAATGGCCGCTCCCGCCTCGAATTCTGAAAATCTTGCAGTTCTGCAGACCTTTATGTCGGTCTTTGACGAAAACATCACGATCCTGGAGTCGCTCCAGATCCCGGATCTATCGTCGTTTCTGTTATTTTCATTGGCTGCTAGGTGTTTACCTACGTTCTCGAGACGTCTTTTCGAGGCTGAAAACAATGAAGAATATCCGTCGATACAGAGCGTGATCAAGTTCGTTAAAACGAGAATCCAGGTTCTTGAAAATGCAGGTGTACAACCGGCAGGAAGCTCCTCCTCGAAGTCGGCCAATATCAAGAAAACTGGTTTCCGTCGGGAATCGAAGACCGCATTAGTATCGACGCCCAAACCTTCGACGTCCAAACATTCCTCGACTAAACCTACTTCGGCGTCATGTTACGTTTGTTCCGGTGCTCACCAGCTAGCTGATTGCGCGAAATTTAAGGCTTGCTCGGTCGATGAACGCTACAAGGTGGTGTGCACGCATCGCCTTTGCATGGTCTGTTTGAATCACGGGCACATGTCGTTCAAGTGTTCCTCTTCGTGCTCCATATGCAAGAGGCGCCATCATGCGCTACTACATCGAGATCAGGAACCGTCGAAATCCGCTCCTCCGGCTGCCATGTTAGGCCGCCAACAAGCTCCAACGGTCTTGCTCGGGACCGCCTTGGTACATGTACGAGATACAATTGGCAGTTGCCAGACCGTGCGTGCTCTGATCGATTCGGCATCGCAGATCAGTGCAATCACATCGGCTTGCTGTAACCGCTTGGGATTACAGCCCTCGCGATGGACAGTACCTGTGACTGGTCTTTCCGGCCAGGAGGTTCCGGATGTACAGGGTATTGTTCAGCTGACGATCCAGCCAAAGGATAAGCCAACGCCAGCGATCCAGGTCAAGCCTTGGGTACTCTCTACCATCACGTCAGATATGCCAGCTCGACAACTCCCAGTTCAGGTACGAGCCAAATGCAGCCATCTGATGTTGGCCGACCCAAGCTTCGATGAGCCAGCTCCAGTTGAGATGCTCATTGGCGCGGATATATTTCCCCAAGTATGGAAGAACAAGTTCAGCTCGTTGGGTCCAGGTTTCCCTTCCGTTTACAGCTCAGTATTTGGTTGGGTGCTAATTGGTCCCGTTCAGGAGCACCCAGATATTGGTGCACAAGCCATGTTGGTGTCGCTAGTATCGTCTATGGAATCCATCATAGAAATGTTTTGGAAGGTGGAAGAACCTGAAGCTGCTCCGCCTCAGTTCACCGAAGACGGATTGTGTGAAGAACTGCTCAATTCGGAGATGCGCAAGGATCAAGCCCATCAACCCTCAACCTATGATGGCTGATCTGCCTAGGTTTCGCGTTCAGGAAGCTCATCCGTTCTCTGTAGTTGGTATAGACTATGCAGGTCCCTTGCAAATGAGGGAACTCAGCCTGCGAAAAGCTCGTATCGTGAAGGTATACATTGCGGTATTCGTTTGTATGTCCACCAAAGCGGTGCACTTGGAACCAGTTTCTGCCCTGTCGACCGAGGCTTTTCGATTAACGTTAGATAGATTCGTGGCTCGTCGTGGTCTACCGACGTCGATCTACTCGGACTGCGGCACCAACTTTGTCGGTGCAGCGAGGCAGCTGCGACAATTAGTAAATCATCCGGATAATAGAGATCAATTATCTGGTCATATTGCGTGCGTGTGGCATTTCAATCCTCCTGGTGCTCCCCATTTTGGAGGAATTTGGGAAGCTGCAGTGAAGTCGGCTAAGGCATTGCTTCTTCGTGCCATGAACTCCCAAGTTTGGACGTTAGAAGAGTTTACCACGGTGTTATGTCGAGTAGAGGCTGCTTTGAATTCGCGCCCTCTAGTACCAGCATCATCTGATCCGAATGACCTGGAATGCTTAACACCCGGTCATTTTTTGATTGGTCGTCCTCTGATATCGATCCCGGAACCTGTGATTACCAGTACGCAAACAGGACTGCAGACTCGCTGGAAGCTCCTCCAGCAGTCTTTCCAGTTCTTTTGGCGACGTTGGTCCCAGGAATATCTAAACACTCTCCAAGTTCGTGGAAAGTGGACCAAAGATAGCAACAACGTCGAAGTTGGTAATATGGTGGTAGTAAAAATTAGCGACACCCCCCCTCTAACGTGGCCTTTAGGTAGAGTGATCGAGGTGTATCCGGGCACAGATAAGATAGTGCGGGTGGCAAAGGTTAGGACCAACCAGGGAGTGTTCACTAGACCAGTTGTGAAGTTAGTACCGTTACCTACGGATTTGTAGGACACGATAGGTACTAATTAGATGTAATTCCGTCCACCAGTTTCCTTTGCACCCTTATAGTCATCCGCTATGGCTGAGATCATTATGTATTATAAACTGTAATTAATTGGTTTTACCAGCCATCACGCCTGCTTCTGGATGTTGGGCCGGTTGCTCCACCTCTGGATCCAGTGGGGTATGGCAATGTTTATTGTTTTTTTACTTTTGTTTATTTTCAGGTATTATGTTGTTACTATATTGATATGTTTTTATGATGATAAAAAGAAAATAATGTAACTAAATTTTGGATAGTTAATTTTGTATGTTATGTTGTTAAACTTTGTTATTCTAGCTCGGTTAATGCCGTAGATTTGTTATATTTCGTTGCAAAAAAATAATGTTAAAAATGTTGTCCCTTTGTAAAGAAAACCCGATCATCGCTCTGGGCTGCTCAACTGCTCAACTGCTCCGTTCAACTGCTCGACTGCTCCGTTCAACTGCTCTGCTCAACTGCTCCGTTCAACTGCTCAACTGCTCCGCTCAACGGCTCCGTTCAACTGCTCAACTGCTCCGTTCAAGGCTCCCAGCTCCAACATCATTCAGAACAGATCGAACTTCTTATTCCAAGTTAGCTGGAACTTGCAAGGGGGAGTATGTTCGCTCCGTTTGATAACAGAATTGCCGCCGTCGGTGGTCACGCTCGACCGACCGCCGCAGTAACCATGTTCCTGGGCGCTGCGCGCCGGCAGCCGCAATTTTGGCAACACTGGTAGACCGTTACCGGCTCTCGGTATTCGAGCTCGGACGTCCGCGTCTCGCGGTCGTCGTATGCGTATGCGTCTAGCTCGTCCGTACAGTTTTTATGCTCAAAACCACGTTTGGTCGCTATGCTCAACGGCCCGTCCATGGGCGTCCGCCATTGTTCCGTGGCAGATACAAGTTCGCTCGCTTTGCTGTAACCAGTTCGATTGGTGTTAAAATGGCGTTCACTCTCCGTTTTTCCGTTGCAACGAGTACCCGACCGCTCCGTCTACACGTTTTTGTTCTGCTCGCTCGCCCGTCAGCCATCTTTTCCCGTTTGGGATAGTTACGGAAAACGTGTTTATTGTTTCGTGTTAAAACATCGCGGTTGTTCGGCCAATTAACTCGTATCGCTCTTTTATTGACTGTCGTCGTCCAGTCTGCTCTCGTCAAGTTCGTGACCATCAGCTCCGAGTAGCTTTACCTACTCTACCATACTTCGCGTCCACGTGCGCGGTTGAACGCTCTTCGCTCCACGACACGACGGTGCACACGCTCGCACCCGTGTTCCAGATACAGCAGCTCCGCACATACAGTTCACCAGCTCAAGACATCGGCCAGGGAGGCAGCTCAGTCGGTGATCCCCGTTTCCCCCCTGACTTAATATTGTATTATTGTATAATTGAATTACCTACCTACTGTTCATGTGGTATACCTAACAATACATGCTCCTGATAGTTAGAAATCTCGTGTTATTTTTGAATCTTATAAATTGCCTTATTCTACAACAATCCTGAGGACCTCGTACCAGGCGATATCTGATCTTAAGGATCGCCGGGTCAACAATAATAATATTCCACTGTCCGCAATACGCGAACGATTGAATGATGCCGGATAACGTGTTATGACATTATTATTAGAAGACCGTTAAACACTGTATAGGTATCGTATATTAATATAATAGGGACCTACCTGTACGTTATGCTAAATTAAAAACTCAGAAAGATAAAAAAAAAAAAAGTTTTACCGATAATAATATTATTACGAAATACGCTTTTTATTGGCGGCACGCCGTAAAAATATGTTCGTGTAGGCAGTCGACGAGTTACGAACATTATATTATATTAAATCGCCGATTTACTATACCTTTAGAATATCGAGATTATAATATAATAATTTATCGTAGAGGTACTTTACGTTATATCGGTTTTTTTTTATCCGTTCTGATTGGAATAAGCGTTTTTAATGTCGGCCAGGATTTAACTGGGATCGATGGTCTGCGGTTCGGTTTGTTGAAATAAATCCGCGACTCAGCTCAGTCTGTACTATCGGGAGAGTGGGTTATACACCGAGTCCGAGTGATTGTGTACGTTTTCGTATTATAATAATAATAATAATATACGATTTGCGAAAAAACAACAACTCATTGAACAAAAATGATTGAAAAATAATGTAAACTATATAATATACGTTTTAATGGTATGTCTGGCGTGCGATCAAATATATCTGTGTCTGTTGCCGAGACATGATCATTATTAAACCGACGATCAGTGAGATATTTTCTGGATTATAAAATAACTAATGGCGGTGGAATACACATATATATTGACATTTTTATCCGCTTTAATTGGAATATTATGCATTTTTAATGTCAGCTTGGCTTTTAAATGTCTGTGATTCGATTCGATATGTCGGTTATTTAATTTTCAACATTGATTTACATTTTTAATTCATAGTGAAATAATATTATCATCGTTTTAAATTTGACGTCATTAAAGAGTCTAAAAGACATCTGAAAGATGTGCAAATCTAATTTTTAAACTCAACATCAGAACACGACATGAGTCTTGGAGTAATACAATTTGGATTAATAAAAAAATTGAAGTGTTAACTTTTATAATATATATATGCAATAATATGGTATCATAAATGAATAAGGTTGATTTATTTAAAATAAAATGGTGTTTGTTTTTAATTGTACCGATTTTCTTTTACGTATAAAAGGTATTGATTTTAATCTTTAATCTACACGGTACTTAACCCATAACTTACTTATTGTAAAATGTTGTTTTCTTATATATGGTTCAATAATATCGATATAATATATTTTGATAATGTTCTTTAATAAATAATAATTTGACCCAAATACTGTTTACAATTAACAATGATTACCTATTTAAAAGTCATATTTATAATATAAATATTTTCTGTGTTACATATTTTTAAGGTTGTCGAAAATGTGTGCTTTATAATTTACTAAACGATTTTTTCGGTTTTTATTTATAAACATTATTATTTTTATAACAAATTTTTATTCTTTATTGTATTGAACTCTGAGAGAACTGTTGTGCTGCGCAACTACATTTGCAACACATCATCAAGATGAATTGAAAAAAAAATATGCTGGATAAAAGATTTAGTGTTCAATTTTGTTGGGAGCATTTTGCTGATTCGCAGAAAATATATTTATAGGAAAAAAACCTCAAAAATGTTTGTATGTGACGTGTACCGACTAAATGGAAATAAATAAATATTAATTTACCAAATAAAAACGGAATAAAATAGTGCACATAATATTATGTCAATATTGCAGCGAGGCAAATTAATAGTTAGGTAGTCGAAATGTAGATAGGTACCTACGATGTAGTACTGAGTTCGATATCAGGTATCGCATAAATTATTTCTGCAGTTGATTTTCGTCAGCATCTCTAGCACATCACGCATTGGCAGAAATTGGTAGCCCCCCCCCCCCAAATGTCCGTCGAACCTCCTAATATTTAACAGAGTGGCATCGAAACCCACCCCCCCCTCGCTCATATTGGTGTTAAAAAATGTTAGCCTCCCCTGACATTTTAATGGATTTCTGCCTTCGCCATCACGATCGCGTTTCACTTTTCATCTCGCCCGTCGGAGTAAAGTACCTACGAGTGTTTCCGTCGTGACGACAGACGACCTCTTAAGGGTGGTTTTTCCGCACCTTTGACATTTCGGACAGTGATAACGGACCAGTGAGGTTACTCGAACTATCACCACACGACCTCGTGTGCAATATGTCTGTGCGTTTTGTCCCCGTCGAGAAGCCTGTCAGACTTAGATTTCGACTTGGTGGAGATTCGTCCACGGTCCACATCAGATGGCTGCAGAGTTTACTTGTGACCAATACTCCGTCTGATATGGCGACATTGCATCGTTGTTCATCGGTTACTGTGTGTATCTGGTAAGGACTATATATGTATTTATTTAAGTAACAATCGTGCCGTCTTGCACTGGGTATTTTTGATATGTTCTCATCGTCCATATTATAGCTCCTTTTTGCGTGTTATTACAATGACGACGGGACTGAGCTACTTCATGTTGTGCTGAGGCACTATTGAAACTGCCCGTTATATTTTTAAGCATGAAATCAAACAATTACAACACTGTAATAAACCTATAATAATTAATATCAAATTTGATAACAACGGAATGGAACTCTATTCGAAATGGAAATGGAAATTGGAATTATATGGTTATTGATTGATTCAATGTACGTTGATAGTAATTAGGAAATAGAAATTAATAGTACATACAATAAGTGTATGAATATTAATCTGCATGTACGCAGATAGTTGATAGTTGAAAAAAATTATAATATAATTTGTTTCGAACTTGAATTTACATTAATAATATTTTAATATCACAAATACTTCACGTAGGTACTATATAGCACCTATTTTAGACACCGGTTAAATGCGTATTTACAACTGCTAATTTTAATTCAAAGGTTACCATATCGCCGTCAGCAGATGTATAAATTATTATACTCAAGTGTTTCTTGCCACCGCCGCCGTCGATAATAATAATTATACAAATATTATTATTTGATAAAATTTCCTATCTCGGATGATATAACTCTATCGGCAGTTAATATTCTGCACGTGGATACCGGAAGTGCACATCAGTGTCTATTAGGCAGGTACCTCGCCTCAGATATTATGACAAGTTGTTTCTGTATATTTAAAAATTCAATGCCTACGACGTATCGTTTGTTTCGTTATGTGGATGCGTACGCTGCACATATCTGAGTCTGAGTCGGTTTGGCGAAGAGTCATTCGCATAGATTGTGTAATATAACGCAATGTGCAAAAAATTTAGTTCCGTTTCGAGACCGGATGAAATTATTGCTATCCATTTCACGAAACCGATCAGAACGCGAAATGGAAGTGACATGTTATTATAACAATATTATACAGTTATCGTTTACTTCCGTCGTGCCGTCACTGCTCTATTTATATTATCGACATCTTCAATAATATATTGGACGAGGCGCCACAGCCAGACATCGTGACTGCACCCACCGCCGGTTTTACCACCGACCCGGAAATACTGACCATAATTTGTATGTGTTTACCCGTATATCACACGCGAGGTGTCTGTTATCATATTTTACTATCGATTAATACTATCATATAACCGTGTCACACGAGATGTCCCAGCGAAGAGACGTCATATTCTTGTATAATTGCTCACAGCTAGTGATGGGCAAATACCCGGTAAATATAATTTCAGGTAAATTGGGTAAATTTGTTTTTTATGCTAAGACCAATTAATGGATACCACAACACTTTTTTATGATTGTTTCCTGACTTTTCCATGTTTTTCCAAAACTGATGAACAGTGTAAATAAATTATATTCCATAAAGTTTTTGTTAATTTTATTCACTTTGAAACCAATACCACTTTTGAGTGTTGATAGGGAAACAAATAAAACTAAGAATTTAAAAAGACTAACCAAAACACTTCAAACATTAAAATGAAAGTTATTTAATAAAAAAGATTATGTTTGACAATAACTATAGTGACTAGCCCGCTAGACCTTGAATTTAAAAAAAATGAATATAAATATAAAGTTCAGTCTTTATTTTCCATTGCAATAAACTAAATTATTTAAAGTTTCACTAAAATTTAACTACAAATGATCAAATACAAATATTGTTCTTATGAAACATAAAAAAACATATTTATTACAATCAGATATCCTTATTTTTTTTAATATTTCTATATGAAAAAATAGAAAAAATAGAAAAAAAGAAAAAATATTAAAAATATTAACCCAAATTGTCGGTAGGTAAATATTATAGTGGGTAAATACCCAAAATATTTACCTATCCGTCGGGTATTTACCCACGGCACATCACTTCTCACAACACATATTTTACTCAGAAGGTGTCATATTTATTATTTATTTGATATTTTTGTTTGTGTAATCCAGTGGTTCTCAAACTGTGCTCAGCTGGGCCCTAAGATTCCGGGACAGTAATTTAAAAGCTCCTTGGACATACTGTCAGAATTCAATTTAAATAAAATAATATTTGGTTTATCGTCTTTATTTTATTAACCCGAAAATTAAAAAGTAATCGAAAACTATATTAGATGAGATTTGGTACCGGAGAGTCGTATATTGCTTTTATCGTTTATTATTATATCATTAAGAAATTAAAGTCATATAATAATGATTTATTACAGTAACCACATTTATAGAACTAGTGACAAATGTACACGTTCAATGATAATTAAGTACAATAGTCAATAATTGTATAGGCAAACTTATAACTGTTAGAAAAAAATAATAATATGGACACAATAATATATTAGAAACTAATTTTGAAGTCAATATCGTTATTTATTTAGTTCAAATATTATAATATGAAAACCACAAAAATCGACGATAAATAATATATGTGTACCTAATACTCGTAAATAACTACTACATGTTATGAACATTTTATTTCGTTTAAGTTTGTAAAAAGTATGAAATCACGCAGTAATCAACACATCAGTTGTAACGTATTAATAATGCTTTATAATATTTTCGTAACCATGGGAATGCAGTGGGGCTGGTTTATCTTACAAACGTAAATCCTATTGGCGAACAATTTAACGCTACAACAATTTGATTGTTCACGTGTGTTAACTGCGGTTCGTACGACCATTCCAAACGATCAGTCTCTGACATTAATTGCAGTCTAGGAAGACCAAACTAAAGAATAAAATATGTCCACAGTATACAGCTAATTCTTTGCCGTCTCCACAGTAGCAGTCGTTCACGCTTTTAATAGGTCAGGTGGTCAGTATTATTATTTTATTTAATCATATACACTATTATTTATTTGAACCTGCAAGACCGTTACTAATCAGATTTACCCCCTCCCACAAATATTGTTAATAATTTGTATGTTGTCAGACATAAAACAATTAATACGGCTTCTAAAAAAATAATTTCTTAAGTTGATAATTTTCCAACGATTTAGTATCTAACATCAGAAACGAAGTTCGCTCAAATGTTATATAATATTGTGAATGATATAGTTCTGTAAAAATATTTCCTTCATTCAAATGCGGTTTAGAGTTTTATAAGCAATATTGTTTTATTTAGATATCAATATATGACTTACTATTTTACAACATGAAGGATTCCACAAAGTTAAGTTTTTTTTTCGTAATGGTTGTTGTATTGAAAGTGGTTTTTTTTTTTAAAGCCATGATATTATTATTAAGCTCCTCGCAAGTATTTACATTTGAGATAAAACTCTATATACCTCAGCGAAAAGTTTTTATTATTTATTGCATATAAATACCTTACGTCAATAAGTTATTTCAGATTATGACGGCTGGTGATAAAGTTGTGGTTCGTTGGTGTTATATTTTCAGGAAAAAACTTTTCTAGTCGTGTTTGAAAGCTGCTTAAAAAGTTGCGTAATATAATAGCTATCCACTATTAATTGAAAATTGTGCTCACTGAGGAAGGTTAAACCTGTAGTTTATGGAATTTCCGCGAGTGGGTTTATAAACGAAATATCCAAAAGATGATAATGAAAACCGTATCCATTAATTGAGTGACCGCGAACAATAGGTACTAAAAATCGGTTTTTTCGAGTATTTAATTTACATTCAACAGTATTTATTATTGAAGTTTGAACGAAATCAAATGGGTAGTTGGAAAACTTAAAAAAAAAACGAAAAGATGTGTGCAACGAGGATAGAGTGTGATGGTTGTATACCTATACCGCCTTCCATTTTCGTTTTAGCACATAATACCTATATTTAGGTACCTAAATCGTTTCAGCTACAACAAATGTTAACTTCTCCGAATTAAATTGTACGGTCACAGTCCAGGATCGGGATTATTATATAATATAATATACTCACCGCCCGTGTTGTTATTTCGACGGCTTGTCTCCTGCAGCTAAAAGTCGAATTGTCCTGACCGCACAGTGAATTCCTGCTGCGACCGGCTCACGTTATATACGGTGCACAGTATACATATAGGGGTGGAATTCCGAGGGGAGGTGGCACGACGTTTGATTGTGATTTGCAACCCTCGAATTTCTCGCCAGACTTAGGTCGGTCACCGTGTGCGTGTGTGTGTGTGCTCGTGTGTGGCCGGAAACACGTCGAGCCGATGGTTTATTGCGGATTCTTCCTTCCCCCGTTTAATTCGAGGACGTGGCCATTTTTCAATAAATTGTATTCTCAGCAGCCGTGTCGCGTATAGGGTTTATACCGTCATTTATATATTTTTCTATATATAATTAAACGAAAACGTGCTTTTTATATGATAATATATACATTGTCTAATACAGTGCGCCGCCGAGTCTATTTTTCCGCGGTCTCGCGGTCTCGTTACAGACGCGAACTTATTCAAAATGATATTGTGTCTGCACAAAACGTGGTATATATTGGTACAATCGTTATACTTTCAGTCGGAATTTCATTTGAGATCGCACCGCTTGTCTCGGCCTACGCGTATCGCCGTTCAAATAATTCTTTGACCTCATTCCAGTGATTCTATCGAGCGTATTGTGGTTTATACCGAATTGTATTTCATTTTATTTTTACCATTATTGTTTTTGTCGTACACTATTGCTACAATAGTACCTATATAGACACTGCCAATCGTTTGAAAAGAAAAGATTTAAATATGCTACTTGCTACGTACGGACTCCTCTACTCCGCCAGTACACGTAGTTATCATACACGGTATCCGTGGTACAACGGTAACACATAGATAGTTGAGATGATGTCAGCATTACACACAGACCCTGGGAGAGCAATATTATAATCGTTAACACCAGCCTCGGCATCTGCCAACGACCAGATGACAAAACCCGAGCCAGTAACATATCCGTGAAAACTCCTCGACGTTTAGTAAATTCTACGAATTAGATATTGGCACTACGCCAAGACGGCCGCGAGTATACTCGCCTGTTAGACCGATACCCCACATCTGCAGCCCTGATTCATAAAGTCAGTGTTCGCACTACGAGATAGTCGACCATCTAATTATGAAAGGCCCCCTGGACTGTGGGAACCCACGACGCACTCCTCCAGGGGTCTAGTAAGAGAAGGGATAGGACTATATAGGAGCCCCGAGAGCGGCCCACCAGACAAACGTGATTTAGCCACCGTAGGTACGCTCTCCTGTGCCTCTTCGTTCTTAGTAGTCACCATTTTTCTCATTTTGACTTAGATTATTTTCATTAACGGCGTATTTTCGGACTTAGAGAATATTCGAGGGATCGGTATTTTCTAAGGCACTAGTATTCTTCGTGAATTTCAATAATCTAACAGTATTTAATTTCAACTTGTCTTGATTTCCTACAATTTACAATAAATATTACATCGAACCACAATTTGTTGATCATTTCGACGCTCTACCATCATCCTATCCTGTCACCACCTTCTGTAAGTTGGGTGAGCGCAACACATTTGGCGCAGTCGGAAATAATTCTTTGACCTCATTCCAGTGATTCTATCGCGCTTATTGTGGTTTACCGAATTTTATTTCATTTTGTTTTTACTATTATCGTTTTTGTTCTAAACTATTACTACAATAGTACCTATATAGACACTGAATTGAAAAAAATTAAATATGCTACTTTAGTGTTATATATTTGTATTAAATTGCAGTACTGAAGTACCGATACGCTGCTATTTTTATTCTTAGAAAACGTCTCACTTTAGGTTATTCAGGTTATTGTTTTGTTATTATATATTATTCCTTCCGATATTATTATTACACTATTGTTGTTCTCTACATTTTGGTCGGTTTTATTTTTATTGTTGTCTTACATTAATTACCGTTGACGGACCTTTGACGGTTCCGTCGTTTCCGGAAGATCATGGAAAATGGGACCCTTAATGCAGTGATATTGCCGACCGACTGTGTATAAAATTGGCAGCATCCCAATTGCGTGCCAAAAAAAAGAGCCACGTCAGTCGACAGCCGAATTATTGCTGGCGCGATAATTTCTTTTTTTTTTACGACAGATCCGAATCGCGTGCTCGTATTTTTAGTGACAGGTTTGAACTGCGTGTGTAAAAGTTTGAACGGAAGAAGTGATATTTGCCGACCAGCACATAGCATGTCGTATACTAAATACAGCTATAGTAAATTCGACGTAGGTACCTTAAAATAATGGGTTTCTCAAAGGCACTATGGATTAAGGAATAAGGCGATTAGAAAAATTATATAGGAATAAGGCGATTAGATCATTTATGATTTATAACTAATATACTTATAACGACATTTATAAAATAATATTTAGCTTGGATCATACGACATGTTATTATTATGTATTATATTATGACAGATGAAAAATGAATGCATAGTTATTTATTTTAATTTAACATTTTTGAAATTATACTCAATTTTTGATCAAAAATAATATTATACCTAACACGCGATTATTTAAAAATCTACTTGAATATTTTTTTATTTGAAAATTTTCTTTAGGTATTTACAATTTTTATATTTTTATACAGAATATTACATATTATATGTCACTCAAATTTCGAACAAATCTTTCGCAAAAATAACCATGCGTGCAGTCGACTGGGCCGAGAAAAAAATCACGCACGCAATTCGACCTAGATAATGATTTTCGAATACAATTCGGAAATTTCGTGCGTGCAACCGACCACCAAGTAACTACATACTACATAGTATACCTATAGTATTTCATTTGAGCCACAGTAAGACCCACTCTGGGTGCAGACTTACACGGTTGAGGTGGAAGATTTCACTCATTCGTGCCATGAGCGCTCAACTGGTAGTAAGACCCACTCGAAAATACTTGTGTTAATGTATCTCCAGCCGATAATCATTAATTGTGAATGACCGACGTTCGGTTTTTATTTCCATACTAATTTCAATATAATTAACACTTGTGAAATCTCCAGATTCTTTTGTACAATTTTTTTTATGTTCATCAGTCATTTTCGAATAGTTGTCATATTATAGTCTTTGTAACAAAATATTCGAATAGTTACGATTAAAAAAAAAAAAACATATATATATAATTAATTAAAATCTTAAAGTTCTGACTCAAAACCACTGTAATCCCTGAACCATTCTCTCTCTCTGTCTCTCTCTCTTCCTCTGTCTATTGTATTTGTCCGTTCATCATTCAGAATGAAATCCACTAAATATACCTACGAATCGGTCGAACTCTTAATAGAGCGTAGTTTCCTCTTAACCATGCACAACTATTACAATATGTTATAAACTATAATAATTATTATATATATATATTATTATGATCCCGGTTGAGCGTTAATGATTCTATGAACCTGGAAGCTGACAAGTTACACACCTCGTCGTTATTTATTGTTGAACCAATTATACGCGAGGGCCCTTAAGTGTTTTTACTTGTACACCCCGTGTGGTACAATGCAACTGCCGCAAAACCGTATAATATAATATAATAATAATAATAATAATAATAATAATATATTATAGTATCGTGAACGGGAGACTTGGGTGTAATATGTAAATTATGATCGTATTATAATAATTAAGTACATCTTGTGATGAGTTAAAAATACTAAATTAAGGAAAATGAGATGTAAAGTGAGTTAATTAAAAAATATGAGATGATACAGGTATGTTTTAGAATTATTGATGTATCTGCATAACAATGTAGTAAAATAATAGTTTTTTTGCTAATATATCTTTGACTCGTTACATAAATACTATCACTCAAAATTATATTTTATGGTGAGGAGGGGGGGGGGTTAAATACGAGAGTTTTTCTTTTAGTTTGAATACAGGTAGAGCTATACAAGAAGAGTGTTGAATATATTTTTACTAACTTTTTGTAGAACTTGCGATTCAGATCTATCTTGCAAGATTTTATTTAACAAAATATACCGAATGTCAAACAGGAGAGGGATATTGAAATACATTTTAGTAATCTAAAATATATTACAATTAGTTAATTTTTATTTTTAAAAGAACACAAATATAATATAAAAATATCCAATAATTCAATGAGATTGGGCATTCAATCCATGTTTGTGTCGTCACCTGTGAGACATTATTATTATATGACACGGACTAAGATATCTTAGTCCATGTTACATGATAATATATTATTTAGTATGATAATTATTGGTGAATTAAATATATTTATGATTTTTAAGTATACAGCTGATGGCTATGTACTATAATATACTATTTAATTTATTTTCTTAAATCTAAATGTACCTAATATAATAAATAATGATATTTCATAATGTGTTTATTAAATCTACGATATATCCTAGTTTTTTTTTGTGTGCCCCGCACCTATTATTATTACTTACATAATATTGAGAAAAGAAAATTGTTCAAACTATTATATGAATTTATATCTATTAATCACTATGCTATACCTTAATATAATTACTAAACATAATATAACTTTAACTTAGTAATAATAATTATCATAATACAATGATTTTTTTTATATGAATTTGAATTTGCGTATGACTGGACTGTGCTGATGTCCTAATTAAATTGATAATATTGTTTTGTTTGTATTAAATTAAATTTGTTTGTGTTGATTTTCATTATATTTTGGGTTTTGTCTTGGTTGGGAATCTACAATGATTGTGGTTGTTTTTCATTATTTTGTTGTTCTTATTTTTGGTGCATGCTATAATGCGTAATTCTACTAAAGATACCAGCTACTAATTGTATTCTTGATCCAAAGGTTTGATATAAGGTATATTTTGAAGTATTTTTATGTCATTCACTTTTGTTGTTATTGCAAATCAATCTCCACCAAGGTAAAATGCAGATGGTAGTAAGTGATAACAATCTATTTCCGGGCCATATTTTTGAAGTGTTCTATTTTTAGGAGCCATGAATTATGATTGGTTATTACTTATTATACTATGTCACTGGTATAGTTCATTATAGCATGTGCCTTTGTATAATATTCCAACTTCGAACGCTTTTCACTTTATCGAATAAATTATTTCACCGAAGTTAATGGCTGTGAAACCTAACCTGGACCTTCGCTCATTATATGGGCGAATTCGGAGAGACTGTAAGTTGCTAATCTTATTTTTTGTATCAATACTTTTCTCTAATTCACATTGTTTCTATAATATACATATGTATAAAGTCGTAATCGGTGATTCGGACCGATTTTCTAGGTAAATTAATTTGGTATTAATATATTATGCCATTAAATCTATATTTTGTGGGGAAATGTTTTTTGTTTTAAAATGGTTGAAAGATAGTGGGACTGTTAATATATTTAATATTTCGATTGTTCTGTTTGAATCACTGGTAGGTATGTGACATGTATATGTTACCGGAATAGATGAAAATTCAGGAATTGTCGGTATATCCTAGTCATTGTTGACAATGGCTGGAAAGGTTAGGCAATGTTGGATGTTTCGTAGTTTTATCAACATTTCCGTATTATATTAGACAATGTTTTAAATCCGAATCGAAAATAATATCGACACCGCGCTTTATGCGGTGATCGATCTGATTATGAAACATAGCTATCTATATTATCTATTACTTATTAGTTATTATAGTATACAATATGGTAAATCCTGTTTTATGTTATCGTTTTTATTGCTTATAACTTATAATAAAATTGATTATACAGAACTATCGTACCTAGCTGGTATCGTTATGGTCACATCCCGAAAGTGACTGTACACTGTACAGTATTGTTTGTGCATAGTGCATTGAAGTAGTGAATAGTAACGTGTAATAACTAATAGCATTGTTTTTTTTTTCAACAATCTCCTTAAAAATGGATTTAAATGAAATGCGCATAAAATTTGATAACGCAATTCTATTATTAATTGAATCGAAACGTAACGACAGCAACTTTTTTTTTAATAATGAAGAATATTGTGAACGAATCGAAGAAATAAAAAAATCTAAAATTACACTATCTACGGATGGAGTAAAAAAGTGTACGAAAGACTATAGGAATGTTCGTAAGTACGATATTCTTATTATCAACGGTAAAGATCGTCTTATTAAAACTATAACCAATGCGTCAGAGTGTGTGCGTTATTATGTAAAAAATGACAGTGTAAGACCAATAGATGTGCTTGTCGTGCATCTACTAGATTATGTAATTCTAAGTGTCATAGCAGTTTACCGTGTAACAATAAAGATTTAGATTATGATTTATAATAAATAGCTAAAAAGTATGATAATTTATAATATATTTTTCGATTTTCAACTTAATTTTTAATGTTATCATCAATGCCTTCTTTCATTAGGAATTGTCATAAATTACTAGTTATTGACGTTAATTCCTTACTAAATCAGGCCTTATCGTTATGGACTAGTCATTGTCAACACTGACTGAATGTCATCTTTTCCGGTAACATATACCTATACGTTTGTTTCATGTCTTTGAGAGCAAAATCTATTCCACTAAATATTTATGTAGATTTTTGTTGTTAATTGATGATAGATGATGGTCCGTAATATAAAAATGTAAAGTAGTGGGTGCCGCAATCATAAGTGTTTAGATCCCTTATTACATCGCATTTGTATGCATCTATACCGTATTGTTCCGGTAGTTTAAACAAAGTACCAGTCGAAAGTATTATAGTATTTTCTTTATTGTTGACTATTGCCATAACGGTGGTTGATATGATTTTGAAGTTTGCTTGTTTAATGATATCTTGCCACGTGCCTTTATTTCCGCAATTTACTTCCTTCTCTATCAATGAATCCCGCTATATTGTGATGGAAAACATTTTTGTTTCATTGATTCTTAGTCCTGTTATTACTCCCCCAAGTCGAAGATAATGAGTCAGTCTTTAGTGGATTTCTGAACAGTATTCGCTGCCGATTTCCGATATTTCCTTAAAAAATCCATTTTCTAACATTTGTTTATCTTCCAATATTGAGCACCGTGATAGGAAATAATTTGTTACGATTGATCACGATTTACCTATATAGAATTGAGTAAGTTTCTGTTTTCTGTAATACCTGAATTATTTGAATAGGTTAAACGTTGATTGTAGTTAGAAATTGTAGTCACAGAAATCTACTTTGACACTAAAACTAGGTATCATCGAATAATTATTTAAATAATTAAATGTTGTGTTAGAATC